CTGAACTCACTCAATTGGACGATTTACACCTGCAGTGCGGATTCCAACTATAATTGGATTAATTTTGCCGCAGTAATTTGCATATTAGTAATATGATTAATAAAGAATTATATTTTCTTTCAATTTTATTTTTCTCTGTCTTTCTGTATATTCACTACATAGGTTAATATAATAAAAATATTTTTTTTCCTTGGACTGCAAATTAATTTAAGTCTGGGTTGCACTATCCATAAAGTCCACTTCTACATGTAGGCTTACCTCTAATCATAGCAAAGGTCCAAGAAGGGAGCCAAAGTGGAACATATACCAGTTAACAATTTTTGGCTCCCAGAACGTTCTGGGAACGTTAGTTTTTGGTTCCGAGAACGTTCCCTGTTGGTTACGTTCTCCTAACCTCTTTACTCTGATATATCCTGCTGTAGCCTACATCAGTAATCATCCAGCACTCCCGTGTCCCATATAAGCAGCATTGAAGACGGACCAATGGACTTAATAATCAGTACTACAAATCTTGTTTTAAGCTATTGTTTAATCATTAAAAATAATCAGAGCACATTTAACCATCATAAGAAGCATTATATTAGATTGAATTATCCATAAATATATATGATTTCAACTTGTATCACTGTACCATATAATAACCAAGATTATTCGTTACGTAAGCACCAAATAACAATGACTTCAACACAATATTGGGTTTTAAAAAGGTGAATTTTATTTTTACAGACATTAAAAATGAATAACATTTATTTGACTTTAACTAGTATAACATTAAATTCATTTCTTACCACTGAATTAGCGCCGATGTGCTTCTCTTTTTTGTGAGTGCTGGTGTCTAGGCGGCAGTTGCGGGGCGGTGGCCTCTCCTCGGCGATTCCATCGCGAGCTCTGCGGCTCTCAATGACGGCTCCGGCCCAAGCGGAGCGGCACGGTCTTGTTACTGAGGCAGAGGGCGGCCCCCGGCACGTCAACACGTGCTCCCCAGTGGGCCAACAAGTCCAAGCCAACAATGCATTCATCTCTGATGTCTGCGAGCCAGAACTCATGGCTCGTCTGGCTCGTCCCCACCACCACAGACAACAGCTTCTTCCCAGGCATTACTGTCCTTTCACCCGTGACGGTGAGCAATTCGGTATTGGTGGGGGTCCAGTCCTCCGGAAGAGGACCGGCCGTTCCTGATAACAGTCCTTTTCGTAGCAAGCAAATGGTGGACCCCGTATCCACCAGGGCGCTGCAGGGCCGGCCGCCAACAACACAGTCCAGGTACAGTCCTCTGGCAAGCCCGCAGCACCCCATGGTAGGGCAGTCGTTCTGGAGGGGTCCCGAAAGACGGGGTGAGGGTCCCCTCACTGCCTCACTCCGAGGTCGTTTCCCGGGAGTGATGTTGCCCGGGGCCGGGGGTGAGGTGCAGGGCAGTCTCTGGCAAAGTGCCCCGGTTCTCCGCAATGGAAGCAGCGGTCTAGTCTCAGTCTCCGTCGGGGAGTCACCGCCGGCTGGCCTCCTCACGATCACGATCGACCGCTCTCAGTGCCTCACTCAGGTCTCGGGGTGACAACAGGCAGATTGATTTGGCCGGCCATTGATTTGAAGAGTCGGTGTGGCGGCCGGAGGTTCGTTCTGCCCGCGACCAGGAGAGTAGTCCACTGTTCGGGGAACGCTGGCCCCGTCAGGCCGGTGCGGAGCCCTGATCCTCCGCATCGTCTCGCTCGTCAGGCACTCTAGCATGATGCTGTTCTCCAGGATGGCATGCTCTAATTCGCCTATACTTCGCTCCATAATCGGCGTCTTCTAAACGGCCTAGATCCCACTTCTGACACCACTGTAACAACTGGCGGTTGTTCAACAGAATGTGGGGCTGTCTGGAGATGAACTAGATGAACTAGGCTACTAGACTGTTACTGAGCTAATTGCTAGCGAGGTGCTAGCATCTTTGCGGCACGGCTTTTACAGTTGACTGACGGAGAGTGAGAGCACTCGTGTCCCATACACCGCACGACCATGAGTGTCTCTGGTAGCAGAGACAGAACAACAGAACAAACTGGCAGGAGGCAGCACTGTCTTCTTTATCTTTTTATTTTGAACACAGAATGAGAACTTGCAAAGACAAGGCCATACAGCCAGGTCCCTCCCTTACACACCTCTCTCCGTGACGGTAACGGCCACACTTACACATAACAGGGCAGTAAAATGAACCCAACCCACACAAACCAACCTGAACATAAACACACATAACAATGCTAACACAACAACCCAACCATTTTGCTTAAATAATGCATAAATCAACTATAAACAAATACCCATAATGCACCCGGCTGCTCGCGCTGCATGCCAGGTCATTACAATAACTTTGATAAAGTTTCAGTCGGGTGTGTTAATGTTTGAAAATGAAGAGGCGGCACTATGAAACTGGTGTAGACTGCAGAGAAGTGGAAAAAGAGAAAAGAAAGTGATCAAGATAAGGGTAAGTGAGGGATTTTAAAAGTATATTGTTGAAATAGCGGATGCTGCATTGTGCTGCGAGCTCTTTGAAGACGCGCTGTGAATGAAACAACAGTAATGAACATGAACGGTATTGTTACAGTGGGCACTTCAAAATACGTGAATAATTCTAGATATCTCATTATCCCAATGGTTTAGATCTTTAGAACGCACAGTAATCTTATTTTCCATCGACCAGTTAAGTTTTACAACACTTGGCGTTTGCTGCGTAAAAGTTGGGTCAGATTTTCTCATCGATCTGAACAAAAACAGCAGAAGTGCTGAATAAAAATTAAGTTCACTCTCTGACAGCAGGGGGCGCTTTAGGAACAGCAGAAATACTGCCCTTACCATGGTTACCACTCTACACAAAGCAGTGCTGCGCAAGCGCAACTTCTGACATCTGCTTGTTTGTCAAGGAGGTCAAAGGAAGTCAAACCGTATTTACATGTTTTCAAACAGCCGTTCAGATTCTTTTTATTCACTTTTGGTGTTTATGAAATAACACCAAATATTTAAATATGTCATATCTTTATTCAAACATTTGTTTACATTTATACATTGTCCTTTGAAATTCTGCTTAGGGCCCCCAAAATGCTTAGACCGGCCCTGCTTGAAAACTATATTAAATTCTTTCCTGGATACTGTAAATTGATATTTCAAAACAAAAACAGTGACTGAATAAATTCTCGTCGTTATCAAACAACTGGTTCAGATAATGTGCTTCTCAATACTCAAACTGATGCTTCCTTGTTTCATCGCTCCTCCGTTCTTCAGCCCGTGACCTGGAAACTGATCAAATAAATAAATACAAAATTAAAAAGTAATAAATAAATGCATAAATAAATCTACAAAGAAATTTAAAACAACAAATATTATGAATTATTTCTATATTTCCTTATATTTCTATATTTCCGCGTATATGTAGCCTATTATTGCATTTTTCTTTGATTGTTTTCATTTATTTGTTTATACACTTATTTATTTCCACTTTTATTTATATATGTATTTACGTCAACATTTATATATTTTCACATTTATTCAAATGGGACATAAATACACCTATAAATAATACATAAACGTGGAAATAAATAAATGTATAAATAAATACGACTCTTGTCTGCTGGTCTTTACAAAAAGAAGTGTTTTGCTGCCATCTGCTGGAAAAATACAGCATTCCGGCATTAAACATGAATATTGCTGTTATTTTATTATCCTTCAAGGTATACCTATTGAAAGTAGATAATATTTCATTCAATAAAAACTAAAGCAAACAAACAAACAAACAACAACAAAAACTAAACAATCGCTTTAGTGACAATATAGTTTATATTTATATTTTATTGTTTCATTGGTTAGAATAAAGGAACAAATTAGTAAAACCCACTTACAGTAATATTATGCATAATTTATCTAGAAACAGTGAGATTAAAATGTTAAATTCATTAAAATGAGTCATGAGAAATTGGTTCTAGTAAGTTTGTGTAAGTATTTGAAGTATTCGGACTTACAGAAGTCAGTCATGAGTGCTTGTCCAGGCTTTGATGCTGAATATAAGCTGCAGTGTTTCTGTATCCACCTGCTCCAAGTTTAGTGTGACTTTATCTCCACACTGACTTATGACTGACACGAGTCTGTCCTCAGTGAAGTGTCTCTTCACGCTGGAGGAGGAGTCCCGCTCATCAGCGCTGACACTTTACTGATATATATGGAGAAAATAAAAATGCTGCTTTCTGATTTGTCACTGATTGTGTTTGATGATTTCCTCTGATCCGTCTAATAAGGTAACAGTGAGTGTCATTGGCAGCTGTGAGTCTCTCTCTCTCTCTAGGGGGCTGACAGGAGCCAGTTTCTTCAGTGTGTTTGAGGGAGCAGAGGAGAAACTGGTGCTGACAGAGTCAAACAGACGGTGTGACGAGCAGAAGAAGATGGAGGGATGCCTGACACTCGTTTTACTCTCCTCTATAATCACTCCAACCACATCTGGTAAGTACACAAATGGATTGAATTTAAATGTGTGTTTATATGAGCAGATTGCCTCATTTCACTATAGAAAGTGAATAGAGACCTGTGTAATATGATCTCGTAACACTAATCATTAATTAAGAATGACATTTTATGAATGATTTGATCTGTTACATGCAACCAATTTAATGATAAGATTAGTTGTAATTTTTTCTTGTACACTATTAGTTGTACAGTTTGAATTTACTAACTTTTTTTCTGCTTTTGATTGTAGGCTGTTCTACTGCTACTGTGGTTAAGTCTCTTCCTCTCTTTCATGTACAGATGTTGAGACGGTTAGGTTGGTTGGTGGAAACAGTCCTTGCAGTGGTAGAGTGGAGGTTCATCGTAATGGTCAGTGGGGAAGAGTGTGTGGTGATGACTGGGATATGACTGATGCTTCAGTGGTGTGTAGAGAGCTGGGATGTGGAGAGGCTGTAGAGGCTCTGGGTGGAGCTCACTTTGGACAAGGATCGGGACTAATCTGGATGGATAATGTGGCCTGTAGCGGATCAGAGTCCACACTGAAGAACTGTAGATCATCAGGATCGAGTGTTAATTATTGTGGTCATCATGAAGATGCTAGAGTCAGATGCTCAGGTGAGCTACTCCATACATCAGCCTGTTAATGCATCACTAATCAGACTTTCATGCCGTTTAATTGTGAGTAATTTGTTTTCAGAGCAATTCATAAATAATTAATTGATAATTAGCATATTTTATGGTCTTAAAGGGGTCATATGATGCGATTTCAATTTTTCCTTTCTCTTTGGAGTGTAACAAACTCTTGGTGCATAAAGAAGATCTGTAAAGTTGCAAAGACTAAAGTCTCAAATCCAAAGAGATATTCTTTATAAAAGCACAGTATGGTGAGGGGCGTAACATTTCCGTCACACGCTTGAGGTATTCGGCCAATCACAACGCACTGGATAGCTGGCCAATCACAACACACCTCGCTTTTTTTGAATGATGAGCTTTGTAAAAATCGACGCGTTTCAGAAAGGCGGGGCATAGAGGAGAAACAATAATGTACAGTATGTGGAAAATAATGTGTTTTTTTTTACTTTAAACCGCATAAACATTTCATTACACCAAATACACAAAATAATGTTCTTTTTAGCAGCATCATATGACCCCTTTAACTACTCACTTTCATCCTTTTAAAAAAATAATTAAAGGACTTGCTTCTTGTTTTATATCTGTATCATAATCATAGTGACAGATGGTCTTCTCTGTTGTGTAAATAAAATCAGAATCTATAAACTACAGAAGGTCAAGACTTGTTGCTGGGTCTCACCTGTGTTCTGGAAGAGTGGAAATGTATTTTGGAGGACGATGGGGTTCAGTGTGTGACGCTGCCTTTGACCTGCAGGATGCAGAGGTTGTGTGTAGAGAGCTGGACTGTGGGGCTCCTGCACAGGTGCTGGGAGCTGCTGCTTTTGGCAAAGGAGACGCTCAGATTGGATCAAAAGAGATTCAGTGCAGAGGAGACGAATCACACATTCGACGCTGTCCGTCATCAAACTCACATAAAATAAACTGCACTCATGAAAATGATGTCGGACTGATATGTTCCGGTAAAATGTTCAACCTATTTATTTAACAAATCCAATTGTTACATATACTAAAATGTCATTGTTTGATCAGTACCATCATTATGAGCTCTGAGTGACTGTATTAAACAGAGCTAAGAACATGAGAATTACTCCGATTCTCTCTGTTCTCTTAGAATCTCAGTAAGCTCTGTGTTCTTTCTCCAGGTTACACAGATCTCAGGCTGGTAGACGGTCCTGACATCTGTTCTGGTCGAGTTGAACGCCAGTTCCTCAGTACATGGGGCACAGTGTGCAATGCATGCTGGGATATGAGAGCTGCCAGTGTCCTCTGTAGACAGCTGAATTGTGGGATTGCTGTGTCTGTTGTGGGGTCAGACTGGTTTGGAGAAGGACGTGGTGAAATCTGGGCTGATGTGTTTGATTGTGACGGGAATGAAAGAAAACTCTCAGAATGTTCCGTCTCTTCATGGAGTCGAGCTGAATGTTCTCATAGACGAGATGTTGGAGTCATCTGCTCTAGTGAGTCCATATTACTGTAACATTTACTGACATTATACTAATCTTATTCAAAATACAATATTTATTCCCTGTACATTTCAGATTGAAGGTTAATGCTTGTGTCATTTAAGTTTTGAATTGTATTATTGATATAAAGCATATTTATTATATAAATGTTCCTTTGTGGTCTTTAACACATTTGCAGTATTTTAGTAAAATGTCAGATCTGCAGATTCTTCAGTTGTTCGTGATCGATAATGTGTTTTTCTGTCTCTGAATGTCAGGTCGCGGGTCCATCAGGCTGGTGGGTTCTGGGGGAGTCTGTGCAGGGAGACTGGAGGTTTTTCACAGCGGCTCATGGGGGACAGTGTGTGACAACTCCTGGGATATTAAAGATGCCCATGTGGTGTGCAGACAGCTGCAGTGTGGAGTGTCCCTCAGTAACCAGCAGGTACCAGCCTGGTTTGGTCCTGGTTCTGGACCCATATGGCTGGATGAGGTGGAATGTAAGGGGAATGAGACGTCTCTGTGGAGCTGCTCTTCTCCAGGCTGGGGAAAACATGACTGTCAACATGAGAAGGATGTAGGAGTCGTGTGCTCAGGTAAACAGTAAATAATAATTTAACTAATATTTCATAACCTGTGACTAATAAAAAGAGTGGGGTAGGGAACTGAGATCTGTTATCATTTAAAAACTGATTTTGGTAATGGTTCATGTACTGGAATTTTTTTTTAAATTCTTTGAATTTGTTGGTTCTAATTTTTTTCTATCTAGAGTTTAAAGAGATCAGGTTAACTGAGGGCTGTGAAGGGAATGTGGAGGTTTTCTACAATGGATCCTGGGGTAATGTGTGCTGGAACCAGATGGACGGAGACACCGTGAGTCTGATCTGTCAAGAGCTGAACTGTGGAAGATCTGGTGTTTTGTCTGATTCTACATCAAGAGTGAAATCAGCTCGTAACTGGCTGGATAAAGTAACATGTCGACCACATGATTCCTCTTTATGGCAGTGTCCATCTTCATTCTGGGGACAGAATAACTGTGGTGACGATGAAGTGGCCAAAATCATCTGCTCAGGTAAAACAGATGCTTTTTCCATCAGTAAACAATACAGTTATCCTTTAGCATTAATGCTTTGAGAAGTTGTATTGAATACATATTTTATAATATTTAATTGTTGTTACAGAACAGGAGAGTCATGAGTCTCCTCGCAGCTCTCTGACATGCTCCACATCTCTCCACCAGAGACAGTGTTCAGGTAAGTTCATTTAATGGAAAAAACATAAAAATTATGAATGTTCTATGCAACCCAAGGTAATGGTGTTCTGATATGAGGCACCAGCAGGATTTCATGTTGGAATATACAGTACAAATAAAAAGAGTGGGGTAGGGAACTGAGATCTGTTATCATTTAAAAACTGATTTTGGTAATGGTTCATGTACTGGAATTTTTTTTTAAATTCTTTGAATTTGTTGGTTCTAATTTTTTTCTATCTAGAGTTTAAAGAGATCAGGTTAACTGAGGGCTGTGAAGGGAATGTGGAGGTTTTCTACAATGGATCCTGGGGTAATGTGTGCTGGAACCAGATGGACGGAGACACCGTGAGTCTGATCTGTCAAGAGCTGAACTGTGGAAGATCTGGTGTTTTGTCTGATTCTACAGCAAGAGTGAAATCAGCTCCTAACTGGTTGGATAAAGTAACATGTCGACCACATGACTCCACTATATGGCAGTGTCCATCTTCACCATGGGGACAGAATGACTGTGGTGAAGATGAAGTGGCTAAAATTACTTGTTCAGGTGAGATGATATTTAAATATCTCAGTAGTCGTGTTTCCTTAAATACCACATTTATGTGGTAAGTAAACGAATGATTCTGCACAACTAAACTGAGCAGGTGGGAAGAGTCTTGACTCTATAGTGTTTTAATTTCAGTGGAGGAGAGTTACGAGTCTCCTCGGAGTCATCTGACATGTTCAACATCTCCTCGCCAGAGACAGTGTTCAAGTATGTTTCCTGATAATACATTAGTTAATGTTTCTTAAGCCTGTTTACCTGATAAATTATTATCTGTGCATTGCATTATTTGCATTTAAAATCAGTGACATATTTAAATAACTCTATTTTCAGTTTCAGAGTAATTTTTAAAGGGGTCATGAACTGAGAAATCAAAAATCCCTTGATCTTCTGACATATAAGAGGTCACTGTACTATAAAAACATCCTGCAAGTTTCAGAACTCAAAACTTTCTCGTTAGTCTAAAAACAGCTTGTATTGAAGCCAATCTGCCAAAACGGCAGGTTGTGGAATGCGTCACTTTATGATGTAATAGTGTGGCTAAACCCCGCCTCCACAGAAGAAGTTCAACGCCTGCTTCTACAGCACTGCCTGTTTAGCTCCGCCCACCGATTTGCACATGTAATGTAAATAACGAGAGAGTACAAAATAATAAAAAAGTCAGTTCATGCCCCTTTTAATGTTGTTTTTATGCTGCTCAATGCTGGTTGATGTGTGTGTTTCAGATCATCTTCCTCTCAGACTGAGTGGAGGGGAGGGCCGGTGCTCTGGGAGGCTGGAGGTGTATCATAACGCTGTGTGGGGCTCAGTCTGTGATGATCAGTGGGACATCAGCGATGCTCAGGTGGTCTGCAGGCAGCTGGGTTGTGGAGCAGCACTGAGGGCTGATGGGAATTCAGTCTTTGGTGCTGGTGAAGGTGTTGTGTGGATGAACAAAGTTGAGTGCAGAGGGAATGAGATTCACCTGTGGGACTGTCCTCTCTCCCTGAAAAACCACACTGACTGCTCCCACAAAGAGCACGCTGGACTCACCTGTGCAGGTCAAGAGAAAAATATTGAGGAATAATATACATTTTTAGATCATTTCATAATTTCGAATGTGTTTGTGTCTGTTTTGGCAGATGTGTCAGTGTCCCCTACTCCTGCCACAACAACATCAGCTTCTCCTCCAGTTTCTCCTGCAGTGCGCTCAACATCAGTCACTCCTCCACAAACTCCTCCAGCAGCGTCTCTCTCCGTCCCCGCAGTGCTTGTGATTGTACTGGGAGTTTTGCTCTTACTGCTCTTAGTGTCACTGCTTATACTGATTCAGCGAAAGAGAGTGACGAGGAGAGGTAGGAGAGATCAGTCATTTGTTGTGAACTGACAGCGGGTTTGTCTGTCTACACCCACAGCTCTCTGACTGGTACACAGGACTACACAGGACACTGACTCGAGAAGTGATAAGCGGGTTCATATTAGGTGCATTTGTAGAGTTGGAAGAGATAAAGAACTAACTCAGTTCCCCAAACACAATTTATTTTCAAATAAGGTCAAATATGATATGAACGATTGCATCAGCTCTTTGAGTCAATGCAGTTTATTGAAAACTTCTGACTGTTCAACGGTTGCTATAAAAAAAGGCCAGCCACATAAAACGAAGACTAGTTTAAACTGCACTGACAGATGCCGACCAATGCAACAGACACCACTTGTCAGGTTTTGTTGGATCATTGTGTCTCCCTGTCAGTGTCAGTGTCAGTGCCATTAGTCTTCAATTGTTTCCATGAACTAAATATGTTCATTCTGCATTTTTCAAGTTGTGGAAAGTCTAAGCTGAATGGTGATTTTACAAAAAACACTTGACGTAATCTGATGATTGTCATCATCTGTTGTTGCAGTGTGAATTAACCCTGAAATGCAGTGAGCTGAATAAACAGGGGTTGCTCACACAGAATGAATTTGAGCTTTTAAAAAAGCAAGGCGCAGTGCAGTAAAAAAAAAAAAGGCAGCTGGGTTGTGGAGCAGCACTGAGGGCTGATGGGAATTCAGTCTTTGGTGCTGGTGAAGGTGTTGTGTGGCTGAACAGAGTCGAGTGCAGAGGGAATGAGATTCACCTGTGGGACTGTCCTCTCTCCCTGAAAAACCACACTGACTGCTCCCACAAAGAGCACGCTGGACTCACCTGTGCAGGTCAAGAGAAAAATATTGAGGAATAATATACATTTTTAGATCATTTCATAATTTCGAATGTGCTTGTGTCTGTTTTGGCAGATGTGTCAGTGTCCCCTACTCCTGCCACAACAACATCAGCTTCTCCTCCAGTTTCTCCTGCAGTGCGCTCAACATCAGTCACTCCTCCACAAACTCCTCCAGCAGCGTCTCTCTCCGTCCCCGCAGTGCTTGTGATTGTACTGGGAGTTTTGCTCTTACTGCTCTTAGTGTCACTGCTTATACTGATTCAGCGAAAGAGAGTGACGAGGAGAGGTAGGAGAGATCAGTCATTTGTTGTGAACTGACAGCGGGTTTGTCTGTCTACACCCACAGCTCTCTGACTGGTACACAGGACTACACAGGACACTGACTCGAGAAGTGATAAGCGGGTTCATATTAGGTGCATTTGTAGAGTTGGAAGAGATAAAGAACTAACTCAGTTCCCCAAACACAATTTATTTTCAAATAAGGTCAAATATGATATGAACGATTGCATCAGCTCTTTGAGTCAATGCAGTTTATTGAAAACTTCTGACTGTTCAACAGTTGCTATAAAAAAAGGCCAGCCACATAAAACGAAGACTAGTTTAAACTGCACTGACAGATGCCGACCAATGCAACAGACACACTTGTCAGGTTTTGTTGGATCATTGTGTCTCCCTGTCAGTGTCAGTGTCAGTGCCATTAGTCTTCAATTGTTTCCATGAACTAAATATGTTCATTCTGCATTTTTCAAGTTGTGGAAAGTCTAAGCTGAATGGTGATTTTACAAAAAACACTTGACGTAATCTGATGATTGTCATCATCTGTTGTTGCAGTGTGAATTAACCCTGAAATGCAGTGAGCTGAATAAACAGGGGTTGCTCACACAGAATGAATTTGAGCTTTTAAAAAAGCAAGGCGCAGTGCAGTAAAAAAAAAAAAAGGAAAAAAAAGAGCTCATGGTCTAAAAACTTGGTCTTAAAATTGTTAATTGACACGGCATTGGCAAAAAGACCACCTACAAGATCAAAACCAGATTTTGGCCATGCCTTTGCAATGAGTGAAGGTCAAACTGAGAGTGTGGTGGCTTCTGCCGCTTCTGTGAGAAATCACTCTCTAAGTCTTGAGGTTTTGATGTCAGAAGAGAGATGAAGCAGAGAGAATCTGCAGAGTCGGTGTCTGCACACTCTTAATATAGGTTCCCATGAATAATACATATCATTCAGGCCACTATTGCTAGTCTATATCTCCTCATGACCGCATAATTTCATTTGTAAGTCGCTTTGGATAAAAGCGTCTGCTAAATGACTAAATAAATAAATAATAATAACACAAAGAGATCTCAGTTCATCACATGTCAGCACAAGATCAACACATGTTTTCTCTTAATAGCAGCTCCTAATATTTGAGCACACACACACACACACACACAGTTAAAGGGGTCATATGATGCTGCTAAAAATAACATTATTTTGTGTATTTGGTTTAATGATCAGTGAGCGGCGGCGGGCTAGAGTGAGCGGCGGCGGGCTAGAGTGAGCGGAGGCGGGCTTCAGTGAGCGGCGGCGGGCTAGAGTGAGCGGAGGCCGGCTTGAGTGAGTGGAGGCCGGCTTGAGTGAGCGGCGGCAGGCTAGAGTGAGCGGAGGCCGGCTTTGTCCTCTTTTGGAAGGACAAAGTAGTTTCGCTTTCACAATGAAACACACAGCGCCTCCACAACATGGCCGCGGCGGGCAACAACAATACTACAGCGAGACTAAAAGTTACGCCTTCTTTCTTTGCCTGAACATTTGGGCGGCATTATGCAAATCTTGTTATCGTGTTAGAACGAGCCGTTTTAGGTAGGTGTGGTTGACTCTTATATTTTATAAAGAATATCTCTTTGGATTTGAGACTTTAGTCTTTGTAACTTTACAGATCTTCTTTATGCACCAAGAGCTTGTAACACTCCAAAGAGAAAGGAAAAAATTGAAATCGCATCATATGACCCCTTTAGCTTTAGCTCATCATATATGAGCACACACAGCCAAACACATGACTACAATGGTAGAATAACTCATATATGTATACAGCCATATTCAACTGATCATACCTGGACAAATACACATCTTGACCAACAAAAATCCTCTACAAGAGTTCTTAAATGGGACGGTCTAGCTTATGGAGGATTGCTCTTGTCGCCTAGCAACTGTGACAGCTGCCTTTGATGAGCTGCAGTAATATTTGTACTGTATTGAAAATGATAAACAAAACAAAACCTGGTTCACAGTCCGTCTAAATAGATTCACTGTGGTTTTTACATATAAAAAGTATAAACTATAGTTTAAAATAGTTGTTTAAAATTGTCACCTTATAAAACTTATACTGTTTATAACGCGTTCGAGCCAACCGTCTATTGCTGCACTCATCGGACTACTGCTGCTGTTACTAGTCTCTTGCAGCTGGGCTCCGACCACGCTCACGCTACTTTCACCAGACCTTCTCCTGTCTACTGATTGTTACGGTCGTCATCTTAATGTCTTGGCCCCGCCTACAGAACTACAGCTATCGATAAGTCTAACATAACATTTCACATACATTTAGTCAAACATTTCTACACAGGACATACATAACCTCAATATAAACACAGTTTTCCTATAAGCAAGACAATAACACAAGAAACAACCAAATATACATTTGTTCACAGATGTAACATGGATTCGCCCAGTGACGTCCGCAGAAACCATACCAGTGTTTCTTCAAGTGGCGGGAATGATATGTATAAATGAACCAAGGTTTGAACAAATTATGCTTCTGACTAGTAAGAATATCTATTGTACTTGTATCAATAAATGACTTAAACTGTATTACTGTGTCCTGTGGTTATTCGTAAACTCATAAATGCCAAATTGGTGAAATGTTAAAAGTTAGAATATATAAAGCATGTAGAGACTTTTACACTAGACATAATACACACGATAATCGAACACATTTTACACACAACCCTTTTATGCCTTCCCAGCATCATAAAAGTCCATATAAATATATGTTGTGTGTGCATGTGTGTGAAAAGAGGGAACATGCCTCATAGTCTGTGCATGGTCAGGGAGTAGCTCTGTGATAGACAGACCGAGTGAATGTGAGGCTGGTGAATGGTGACAGTCGCTGTGCTGGTAGAGTGGAGGTTCTTCATGTTGGTCAGTGGGGAACAGTGTGTGATTGGAACTGGGATTTGACTGATGCTGCAGTGGTGTGTAGAGAGCTGAGCTGTGAAGAAGCTTTACAAGCACCAGGATTTTCTTACTTTGGACCAGGATCAGGAAAAATCTGGATGGATGAAGTGCAGTGTAAAGGATCAGTCTACACTGAAGGACTGCAGATCAAAAGGATGGAGTAAACCTAGTAAGAGACGTGCCCGTCATAATTATGATGCTGGAGTCAGATCAATCTCATTTAATGATTAATAAGAGAGTCTGTCAGACAGTTGATGTTAATCTATTATTAGTCCTGTTAAACCTCCTGCTTCAAACCAGAGAATTCCTGACAGAAAACCACAGAGCTGCAGGTGCATGTGTGTGTGTGTGAGAGTGTGTGTGTCTACCTGTGTGTATTTTTAGAAGTAATAAAGAGGGGTTCATATGTTTGTATATGTAAGTACAGGTGTGTGTACGTGTTTGTCTCTTCCTGTGTGCATTTCTGGAAGGCAGTGAGGAATAGTGTTTGCTAATAGGCCCAAAAACATTGCATTTAAAGTGTGAGGAATTACTAATTACCATTTTTGTTGTGGTGTCACTAACACAATTCTTTATGATCCAAAAGAAATCAGGATTCAGTCTGTTTATAATGACGAACATGTTTCTGACTGTTCTGCTTTTCTATAACAGGGAGTCCCATCTCTGAAGAACTGCATTCTGGGTATGAAGATGCTGATGAGCTTCTCTCAGGTTAGAGAGCTGAAGCGCATATTCATGTCACATTCCACTCAAAAAACCTTTTTAGTATTTCAACGAATGAATTAATAATGAATGGATTTTACTAATGATTCAATACTATTCAAATACTAGTGCTTTCTGTAGAAAATAAAAGGTGGAAAACATGAAAAAAGTTTGTCAATTTATCCTATTGTTTGTT